TAAAAATCATACTTGATAACATATTTCCAAATCAGAAGCATAAAGAATTTCTTCTATTTGGGGACAGTGTTAAACCAACTCCATTCAAAAATATCATAGAACACACAGAAAGAAGATGTCTAAAATACTGTTGGAAAAAAATGTCAAAAAAGTTACAATGTAAGACTTCATTATTGTCATTATTTTTAATTAACTACAGTGGAGTCACTCCTTTTTAGACACAATAGGAAAAATAAAAATATATAAATAAGCCCAAACATCCTTTAGAAGTCCCTATCCTGTGACCCTGTGAGCTTTCTAAATAGCAGATCAATTCTTGCTTCCATGTAGAGTCTATTTGGCAAGATTAATAAATTTGGGAACATAATATAGACTCCAACTCACTTACTGAAGCTTTGTGCCTTCAACTGAATTGTCCTTTTCTCCAACAGTTTAAGATTAAAGTTAGGGGTTCAAAAGCTAGGCATTAGCAATGCTCTTTTAAGACTGGTTTGCCAGAAAAGAATCAAGGGTTTATTAGCGTTGCAATGATTGAGACATTTTCATATGCACATAGAACTAAAATAACACTGAGGCCAGTGAGTGTTCATTCTTTCTTTCAACTTTAATGATATTCTTATTGGCTTATGCACAAATTAAGTGAACCAGATGGGCTCTCCTTAAATGCCAGGGAAATTCATTTGCTAAACTTCTTTAAGAAAATCAAGGAAGGCATATACATTATTCAAAGAAAATAAATAACCCTAATCAAGCTGACTGTGCCTAAACTACTTAGAATGTTCTTTCAGTCATTTTAAATATTAGAGAGGAAATATACCTTCTGACACTGTACTGTCTGCCCCTTTCATCTACCAAGATTATAACACACATCGTCAGTAAGACGTTTTGAAGTCTGAAATGGGTTTTCACTGCCTACTTATACTCTCTCACACATGACCAAGAACAGGAGTTTACGAGTTTATCTGGCATGAGAGGCAAAACAAATGAAGGTGGACTTAACACCCGTGTTCCCTAGTGTTACATATTTTGGTGACGTTTGACTAGGCACACTCTGTCTTTGCAACAGGTGGCTAGAATCCAGTGGATCGCCAACATCAGTACTCGAGGTAATAATTACTTTCCCCACTAGTGGAGGCTGACAATGCCCCCTTGTCCTGCTAAATGTGTTGGAAAATTACTAGACAAAGTATTTTTTAAATGTTGTTAAAACAGGTGTTCAAATCAGATTTCCCTTCCTTCTTCTCAAATATCGAAGCCTTCCACTGTGTATAAGATTATTGCATTTAACCTAACTAGAACTTAATAAAAACTTAGTTATTTTTAACATGGCATTTTTTTTAAACATGTTTCAGTATGTTTCAGTTCTGGTTCTCCTTTTCAAATCCTCCTCTCCAACCAAGACAGTCAACTTCATAATTCCACTGGGGGACATGTAAGAATCCTTTAGTTTAAAAGAATGACGTTAAGTAAGGTGATAGTAAATTTCTCTTTCAAGAGTAATACAAGATTCATAGGAGAGGAGATTAGATGTAGCTTGTCCCTATAACAACATTTTTTGAAGTATTCATTTTTGAGCGTAGGCATCTTTTTAGTTTTCATTTGTTTCTACACCAACATCATTAAGAAAGTTGAGATCTTCTGTTACAGTATTTTATTCTTTATATTTTTAGGGTTTTTTTTTTTCTACCTTCAATTTGCCTAATGTAGTATCAAAGATACTTAACCAAAATTTATAGTCTTTAACAAAGAAATAAAATCAAACATTTATTAAATTTCTAGAAATGCCTACCAACCAAGGGCATCAAATTAAAGAAGGAATTACATGTCTTCACTCTAGGACAAAACATGGCGATTACTTTTTCCCTGAAAGCCTCAGTTCTGAAAATGACATTCTGATTTAATGTGTGCTCAAACCAAGAAAAAAAACCCCAAACCTCCCTGTTACTGTATTATATTTGTTTACGTTCCCCAAACTGATTCAGAAAGTCCTGGATTCTGGTCTTAACTAAGGAAGACACTGACTTGGAATCCGTGGTCCAGGGAAACCCCTCTGCGGAGGAGACAGACTCAACCCGAAGCAATTTAGGATATCACTATGCCAACAGAAAAACATTTTCAAAGGAAAAATAAGTAATGGGCCTGGATGGAAAAATTGTCTGGAGGAACTGTGATCTCCTCACAAAAAGGAAAATTTACTTTTTAAGGAGAAACAATAAAATACATGTAATTGTTCAAGGAAGAATGAGACCCTTGGTGTTTTGTCCCATCATGCATTTATCATGTAAATCTGCGTATCTCCTGTAGATTTTCTTTTTTCTTTGAGTTTGGAGGATTAGCTCTCAAACTCTAAGCACAGACTAAAGGTGCATGAAGCAAATCAATTTCGCTGTCATTGAGAAAATGAACAGGAGGGTTGCTCCATACACCTTATGATATACGTGTGTGTGCACATACGTGTGGGTGTTACTACAATTAATGTATGTAGGAGGATAAATCTATTCATCCAGCGCATCTAAAGAAACATTAATTGACTAGGCTTCATTCTCTTTAGTGTCTGGTTAGTATCACAAAGAATGAAATACCATTCGCTAAATAAACAATTAGCCTTTGTGAGTCTCAAATGAGTCACCTTTTATAGCCGCTCACACAGATGGCAGGCAACAGGTCAGGTATGTTGCCTTGGGGACAAGTCAGAACAAGCATTCCAGCATGAGAGGGAAAAAGAATCTCATACTCTCCTTTCGAAGACTCCAGATCTATACTCTGGAGACAGCACAGCTTGTCTTCCAGTGTTTTCCATTTATACTGAAACTCTAAGCTAAAGGAAAACAGCACGCAGATGTGCTGTTTGTGATGGAGGCTCTTTTGTGCCAGAGTCCAGGGTCAGTATCATGGTCCTATTTTAAAGGTATTAGCCTTATATTTTTGCACAAACTATTCCTGATTCATAACGTAAGCAACTAAGGATTAAGGCATAGGGACAATAAACATCAGCACCTCCAAAGTAGCCGCTCTTCAATTAAAAATCAAAACAGTAAGTGCTTCTACCTTTGGCACTCTTCGACCAACACTCCAGCTCTCGCCGGGACCCAAAGATCCCTCGCAGCGCTGTACCGAGTGCTCACCACGCAGGTGGTGGCTCCAGGTGCCAGGAGACCCCCGAGGGCCTTTCTGCATCATCCGAGAGGTAGACTTAACGAGCAGCAGCTTAGAATGTTTGCGTCTTATTGCACGTTGTATAATTATTTTAAAAAAATCAGTAAATTCTGCTAAACTGAGTATTTTATTACCCAGAAGAACCTGACCCAGCAAAACATGACAAACGGATGACTCCTGCTATGGAGACGTGTTTTCCTTGGGGAATTTTACGAATGCCTTTAAGTCATCAGTGAATCACTAGTGAAAGAGGCAAATCATAAAAGCTTCTTGAATGGTCTCAGGGTTAGCACCTCCCAAAGATGTCAGCAGCTGGCTCCCTGATCCTCATCAGGCTCAGGCTGGCTATTAGCATACCCCCAGAGCTTGGGCTACTTAACCGACAAACAAGAGATGAAACGCATGAAATTATAGACAGACAGAGACTCAGAGTTACGTCAAGTGACCACAATCAGACATACTTACTGATTAAAATGCATTATATGGTATAAGAACTAAAACTTCGTCCAAATGTTTTTTTTCCAATAATGATAATATTAGTTGGAAATATTGCCCTTTACTTTGTGGAAAAATCTTTCATCAATTTCAGAAGTTACCTGCTGTTTTAAAAAGGTAAACTATTAGTGGGCTGAGTTCACCCCTTTGCTCCTTTACAAATGCCTATCTTGTACTTTTCTTATATTATTTTTAACTTTATGAAACATTATTACCTGGGTCATAAGCACTAATAGCAAGATATAAATTTATAAAGTGACACATTTTCAATGCCAACCATCTATGTCAACTTATTCCATAATAGCACATTCCATCAAATTAAACTCCGAGATTTCCCACATTTGTTTTAAATTCTATATGTATGGCTTATGAATAGCAATTTTGATGAATTCCAGCTGGTTTAAATATGCAGGCAGACCCTTCTATAACAGATTCTTTTCAATGCTTTTTGTATTCGAGGAGGCCCATTTTAAGTGGGCCACCTGGTAGGATGAAGCACTAATAATTCTCCACAGAAAAAAAAGAAAAACAAATCACCCTGCTAAACATAAGACTGTCTCCCGCAACTACATTACTATCACGTAACTAATATAAGTGAGAAGCAGTGCTAATCTTTTGGAAAAGTTGAATTAAAATTTGGACGATTTTATGAACTACTCAATTACTCATTTGTCTATTACAACAACAACATTAAAATAATTTCCACCATTTGTGTGTGTTGCCTGGTTTCACAAATCTATCACACACTTTTCAGTCTCCCCCTCCGTTCCCCACACCCTCCCGCTTCCATCCAGCTGGAATACATCAAGGGCGCAGAAGCCAAGGCAAATGTTGACCCCACCCTCCTCCATCCATTTTAAGGCACCTTCAAAGCCAGAGCACTGATCTAGTTCAGTTTCACCAACAAAGCCAGCCATCCTGCTATTTAAGACTCCAGTTTGGGGTTTTTATAACTGCACATTAACATGAGAGCTTTGATTTTTGGTCAGAAACTTCAGCTGCACAGAGTTTCATCAGACTGTTGCACCCTTTATGCAGAAGAGTCCTCATTATTAAATCTTCATAATCTTTGTTCTCAGGGTTGATCTCTTTCCTGCTGGTAACAACCCCTCTGAATCAGCCAATAACCAACCCCGAGGAACATATTTCCCTTCCAAAAGGTCAAAAAAGAACAGCCATGATGGTAGTCCGAGCTCATGTTTCCCCCAACACTTGCACCCCCTCTATCATGTGTGCACTGTGACAGACATCAGTCATTGCAAAGTGCACAGAAACACTCTTGCCAAGGCACATGCAGGAGGGGAGCGGGGGCTGGAGAGACAGGAGCTGCAGTAGGACAAAGAACTTACTTTGTTGTTCCCCTGTGCGTGTGGCCGCAAGGAAAAAAGCAAAAAAGAAATATGTTAAACATAAATTTATTTTAAAATCATGAGGTTTTTCATGCTAGAGCAAAATCAAAACAAATCATTTAACTATTCACTGACAGTGCCATCATACACCAACGGCACCCAGAGCTCATGGACGAGCCGAAGAACCTGCTTATATTAAATGAAATCCTACATTTATAAGAGCAGAAAATCATGACAGAGATTTCCCCCTTTCTTTCCACTGGAAATACTTGAAGTATGGGAACCCGGCCAAAAAGCATTGGTTTGAACTGGTAAGAAGTGAACTGTTAGCATGAAAGGCAAAGTATTTAGTATGTCGGCTTGCCCTTTCCTGACGGCCCCTTCTCCAACACACCAAGCGGTGGAAAATTTCATCAGCCAATGCATTTTTAAACAAACACTGCATCCGTGGTTTCAAAGAAGGTGGGAAAAAAGAAAAAAGAAAAAGAGCAGAGGAAAGGAGTGGGTGGTTCTGGGGAGACAGGGTAAGCAAACCAAGGTACGACCTCCATCTGTACCATTCCTTTATTTTGTAAATTATGAGTTTTCTCTTGGGTTGGCACGGGAAGCGAAAATTGTATAGTGGGGATGCGGCCAAAATAAACAATTGGTCCATATTCAAGAAAATGGGTCTGGAAAGGTTAGTTGCAAAAATGCAGTCATTTCTAAAAGGGCCACTCTGGATAGAGACACAGAGAGCAGCCAGCGACAGGCGGCGGGCAAATGGCTCTCCTGTTTCAAACTGGAGCTGCAGGACTATGATTTATATCAAACAATTTAACTCACATATGGCTTAAAAAAATACAATGGTGATTCATTACTCCCAGGGCAGCCCGAGTCCTCGCAAGGTCAGATCCTGTGGGGCAGAAGTGATGGGATCTGGGCAGGGAACAGATCTGAACTCTTCACACAAGGGGCCCAGAAGGAATTTCTCTCTCCCCCCGAGACGCAGAGTTGAGGAGAGCTGTGAGTGAAATGTGTGCATCTGTGGAGGAGCCTGAGTGCAGGGTGGAGTAGCAGGTTGGGCTGGAGATCTGGCATTTAGTTTTAGGAGAGGATGTGGCCAGGGAAATAACACATACAGAAATTTTCTGGAGAGCAGTAAGGCAATGATTGCAGGAGAGTGTATTTTCTGGAAAGCAATGCCAAGTGGTGACTCTGGGGAAATGCCAAATCCAAGGACCATCACGGCCATCATATTTAATAAAAACATAAATTTAAAGACATGGGTAAAATAGTGTAGTTGACACACTTGACACTGTGAGTTGCCATGATATCACCGTTAACATCACTTGCTTACGTGAGACGTGAACAACAGTACAAGAATGAAGTCGCGGGAAAGAGAGTCTTTTGTAAAGAACTGCCAACTGTTCAATAAGGCCATAAAGGTCCCCACAGGGAATTTTATCAGGAGTAAAATACTATTTTAGAGAATAATGGGACCCTGGGTCTCCAAAGTGCAATATCGCTGAAAAGACCTCAAACAGATGGGGTTCATTGCATTCCACAGCCATGTGGCTTTTGATCTACCAAATAAGTTTCAGGAGTTCAAGTATTTTTGCACATTAGGGAATGACCGGCTTCCCTGCTCGGCGGGCAATGCTTCTGTTTGTAGTGGCAACAGTGATGTCACAGAGGAGAAGGCCTTAGTCCTTAAAGATAAGAAACATACAAGTGGAGGACATACCATTTCTTGTTTCCTTCAATCACTTCTGAATTGTCTGTTCTGAGAGAGGCATGACGGTCATGACTGGGGAACTGAAAATGCTCGGTAATTCCCTCCACCGCTCTGTGCGGCTGCGTTTACGCTGAGATTCCTGGAAGGACCTCCATTGAAGAAAAACTATCAGCTCTTCAGAACTGGTCATGGAGCTGCTCTGATTTCTGTGGGAAGCACTGCTGATCAAGCTAAGGATGAAGTTATGGATAGCAGGGCTCACATGGGCATTTTCAGTCTTGCACACAAGACTGCTGAGTAAATGCATGGGCATGGTCATCACCATATTAATAAATATTTATGGGGGTCTGGGGCCATGCCTCTTCTCCCCCTAGAGTGACACAGAGACCTTCTCCCCTAACTGTCGTCTGCCACAGAGAGAAGTTCAGCTGTGGAGTCTGTCCAAAAGGGTTTTCTGAAGTCCCCAAAAAGACCTCATTCTGGGATGGTTTCAACTTCCAAGGCAGTCCCAAAAGCATGAATCATGACTGGGAGAGTCATGAACCCAGAGATACAGAGACGTTCCAAGATGTTTCACTTTTTACCATCATTTTTCATCTCTTAAGAAATCACAAACTAGATGGGAAGACCATCTATCCATATAGCTAACACACCTTGTCAAAAGTTCTGAGGTGCAGCATTCAACAAATAGGCAACACAGGATTTGCACCATGTTAATTTCCAGGGCATGCGTGAATCTACAGGCTGCTTCTTTCAGACACCAGCCAACCAGCAACCTGGGGGCAGGCTTGTGAAGCCTCACTTCCCCTGACAACCTCTACGGCTCACTCCAGACTAAGTGATGGAGCCTTTGAGGCCAGCCTGTCCACAGGGCAGCATGACCTCAAGACTCCACTAAGCAATTTGGTTTCCTCAGCCAACAGTTGGGGAAATTCTCCCTCCCACGTCCAAATCTCACTGATAGTTTCCAAAGAAAAGAGAACTACTAAACTGGGAATTGCTTCCCTGACACATTAATGACTGTCAGTAACAATAATAAAGGTGACACGGCATTGAATACATTCATCCAGTTGCAGGCACCCAGCCAGGTGTGATGAGCAACTAAGTATTCACTTAATCCTGTAAAACCACTCAGAGGAAGGTATTATTATTTTGAGTTTAAAAAAGAATAAACAGCTAGAGAGTTAGGTAAGTTCCTGAGCCACATGGCTCATAAATGAAAGGGTCAGGGTTCCAACTCCAGTGGATTTGACTTAAAGTCTACCTCATTTCAATGCACACAAAATGTTCCAAAGAATTTGGAATTCCTTTGTGTTTATATATAAATTAAGTCATATTGTGAGTCGACAAAATTGCCAGAAAAATTAGTCATTTGTTATACCACGTTCTTAATAGATATTTAATTAAATTCACATATGTTTTCACACTTCTAGGAAAAATTTATGTACATGTGTCATAAAAGTTTTTAAATGGTAGCCTGTAGCTATTGATACACACACACACAC